GCTCTCACCCAATCACTCAGGAAATTACAAGGGCTATAGGAGCTCTGTGCCAGGAACTGGGGACGAAGACCAAATATGCATTTCTTTTCTTTTTTCTATTTTTTTTTTTTCATTTCAGAGAGGAAGAGAAAGGGAGAGAGCGAGATATAGAAACCTCAATGATGAGAGAGAATCACTGATTGGCTGCCTCCTACACGCCCCCTACTAGGGATTGAGCCCGCAACCTGGGCATGTGCCCTTGACTGGAATCGAACCTGGGACCCTTCAGTCCTCAGGCCGATGCTCTATCCACTGAGCCACACCAGCTAGGGCCAAATATGCATTTCTTATTCTATCACAATGAAGTGGGGTGTGTGTGTGTGTGTGTGTGTGTGTGTGTGTGCGCGCACGCGTGTGTTGTGCAGGGGAAGGTGGGGAGGGTGCTGAAATCCGCTTAGAGGTCCACCCTGCTAGGGGAGCACGAATAGAGCTTGACAAACATTCTGAGAGGTTCCAGATCACTTTCGTTCAATATTATTGAGGTGCCAACAAGGTGTGCTAAGTGCTGGGCAGGGGGACATTGGGACTTGGACCGGAACCAGGGGTGAGAGCCTCTCTGGTCCAAACCCACCTTAAATCTCTCTAATGAGCCAGGAAACCATCCCTTTAGGACACATCCAGCGCAGTGAAGAGGTGGGTTGGAAGGTTGCACACATCCCACCCCATGCTCTGTGGGCCTGGCTGAGAGATTCCAGCAAACCTGAGGAGCGGAGAAGGAGGCAGCCTTGTTCGGACTCCTTAGGGATCAAAACGGCGGGCAGTGGGAATAGCCAGCCACGTCTGCAATGCCTGCGAAGCCAGGTCTATGGCAGGTCATGTCATTCACAGGAACATAAAAACTGAACACACAAATGCACATACAGTACGGGGAGGGGGAAGATTTTCACAGGACTTTTACAGAGACTTCTCTTGTGCAGTCATTACCATTTATATTTCCAAATACACACAAGCTCAAAACATGCTACCACCCCAGGAAACTTCTTTTTTAAAAGAAGAGGAGGTGGACTTGCCCACGGAGCCCTGCGCACTAGTTAGAAGCAAGGGCTCGCTGTTCCTGTGGCAACGAGGATCACCTTTTAGACACAGTGCTGAGCGGAAAGTGAGAATGAGCGCCGCAACACAATACACTTCCATCAATTAAAGATGTCCCACCGAACCCAGGAATGCACGTCTATGAGAGCCAGCCCTGAAAAAATAAATTTTAAACAGCAACAACAAGAAAAGAATCGCACAAAGAACCACACATGCAGCACACCAGATGCTGGCCGTTGGGAAGATGGAGTAAGGGAACCAACACAACAATCCTACGAGAGAGGGGCCTGCAGGCGGGCAGGCTGCCAGGAGCTAAGGGTCTAGCTCTCCTTCCAGCATTGAAATCTCACTAGGGCAGCGGTTCTCAACCTTCCTAATGCCGCGGCCCTTTAATACAGTTCCTCATGTTGTGGTGACCCCCCATTTCATGGTTACAAATTGAACGTAATTAAAGCATAGTGATTAATCACAAAAACAGTATGTAATTATATATGTGTTTTCCGATGGTCTTAGGCGCCCCCTGTGAAAGGGTCATTCGACCCCCAAAGGGGTCGTGACCCACAGGTTGAGAACCGCTGCTCTAGAGGAACAATGACTTCATGACAGACACAGCCAAGGCAGCTGAATCAAAACCAAGAACTCGAGAAATCCTGGTGCACAGTCAGAAGCACACGTTCTGTAATCCGGGCGCCCACTCCGTGCCTCTGCTTGTTCCTGCGTGGAGCTGAGGATGGTGTCCACCCTTGTCCAGTGGCTGGAGGAAACGTCAAAAGGTTACTGTTCGGTGACACATGAAATTCACACGGCAGAGGCCAGACCGTTTCCCGGCCGCGGCCACACCCCGGCACCTGCGTTGTCCACGGACGCTTTCTACACGCAGAGCTGGGTCCCTGCAGTGGAGACCACAGGGCCTGCAGGACCTAAGTCTTCCCTCTCGGGCCTTTACAGCAGGTTTGCTGACTCCTGTCATAAAGGGATCAGCAGTGCGGCCTCCTCCCTCAGCTCGGGGACCAGCAGGAAGCGCTGGGAAGAGCTGCCTCCCTCCAGGGCAGGGCTGGGGGTCCGCAGGCAGCACAGGAACCGGGGCCCCTCACCCAGCCCAGGCGGGACAATAGCGAGGCTGAGCCTGCACCCACGGGATTGTAGGACAAAAGGCCTTCATCCTCCCCACAAAAACGGAGCCACAGAGGGCCGTGGAGCAGCCATTTTCTTTAACCAGCAAATTAAAACACACTGTCTGGCCTCCAACATGCACATTGGAAAAACGACCTAAACAACCATTGATAAAAACCAATTGAATAAGTTACTCCCCATCCATACGTACTGCCCACTAGAGAGAAGAAGGCGGATTTTCGTGAGCAGACATGGGAATAATTGAAAAAGTGTGCTGAGAAACATTATTATCAGCATTTTTGCTTAACATACATGTTTATACATTCATAAGGCAAAATGTATTATACACTATGTATGACCTGAGGAAAAGACACCAAACTGTTGTATATTCTGTACTGTGGGGGTTGGGGCTTTAATATTGTATGCTATGTGATTTAATTGGTTTTATACCAACATGAGTTCCTTCCCTAATAAAAAATGCTTTAAGATGTTTAGATGGGCAAAACCCCTCATGATGGTGAACTTGCTTTTTTTTAACTGAAAAAGGAGGACATTATCTTGAAACCATCTCCCATCTGGAACCTGCAACGATGGCCATGTTAATGCTCCTTAAAAATAAGTAATATTGCCCTGCACCGACCTATAAACTAGGAGGTCACGGTTCGATTCCCTGTCATGGCACATGACCGGGTTGTATGCTGGATCCCCAGTAAAAGGGGTGCAGGGGGCAGCCGATAAATGATTATCTCTCATCGTTGATATTTCTCTCTCTCTCTCCCCCTCCCTTCCTCTCTCTGAAATTAATTTAAAAATATTTTTTAAAAAGTAATACTTAAATGTACCATAAAACCACAAAGCAATCTATAATAATAAAAGCGTGGTGGGTGGGGGCGGGGACAGAGGCCCGCAGCCACAGTGGCACAGCCCTTGCACAAATTTCGTGCACCGGGCCTCTAGTTTTTTTAATAATACAGATGGATGTGTATTAGATCTTGGAATTAGGAAAGATACTCTAAGGATAAAGGCCAAAGGAAAAAGCATGAAGTCACACTAGCTGGTTTGGCTTGGTGGATAGAGCTTCGGCCTGCAGACTGAAGGGTCCCAGGTTCAATTCTGGTCAAGGGCATATGCCTGGGTTGCAGGCTCGATCCCCAGTGGAGGGCGTGCAGGAGGTAGCCAATCAATGATTCTCATTGATGTTTCTATCTCTCTCTGAAATCAATAAAAATGTATCTCCCTTCCTCGCTGAAATCAATAAAAATATATATTAAAAAAAGAAAAAAGCATGAAGTAAAAGATGAAAAAGTTTTATAATTTTTTAATGTTACGTTCCTATTATTGGAAGTTTCTATTGTTGTCTATTATGTTCATATTTCTTTTTAAGGGAAGATGATCCCCCACCATCCCAGGTGCCCAGGCAGCTGTGTCACACCCTGTGATGAGATCAAACCGGACTGGATCTGGCTGGACCGGAAGGAACCAGGGCGCCCAGCAGGCCAGCATCCCATGATCCACCGAGAGACGTGGAGCTGGACTAACCACACCCCCGCTCTCAGAAATCTGAACCAGGAAATGAAAAAATATATAGCTTCTGGGCAGTAGGGGCTGAAACTGAAAAATCGTGATGTAAGGAGGCAAGAAAGGCACCAGTGGACCATGGGTGGGAGGAGACACCACCAACTCAGACCAAATAGAAGCCCCTGGTAATAGCGGGAGAGAAGGGAGCAGGCATCTGAAGAGAGCTGGCTGAGCCCTGGCCGGTGTGGCTGGTGGCTGGGCGTTGACCCATAACCAAAAGGTTGATGGTTTGATTCCTAGCCAAGGGACATGCTCAGGTTGTGGCTCTATCCCCGGCGAGGGGCTTGCAGGAGGCAGCCAGTCGATGTTCTGCTGTCACATCGATACCTCTCTCTCTCTCTCTCTCTCTCTCTCTC